CCAGCCTGGGCTACATAGTGAGTTCCAGGTCCGTCTCAACTACATAGTGAGACCTTGTCTCAAAAAAAAAAAAAAAGAGAAGACAATAAATGGCAGCCCATCCTCAGACAGGACGGGCAGGGTGTCAGAAGAACAGGTGAGGGGATTCTCCCCAGGGCCACAGGGTTCTTTGAGGTGAGATTGCAGTTTCCTGACTGCTGCTTGGGCAGCCAAGCTCCCAGGCCCAGGAGTTGCCAGGTCCCTGGCCTTGCTCCATCCTGTACTTCTGTGCTTCAATTTTCTCTTCCTTAAAGTAGGAGTAGTCATATGAAAGTTGTTGGGAAGATTGAATTTTGATGAGCTTGGAATACAGCCCAGGGAGTAGCACTGGCTAATAGCTGATCATAGCACTGATTATTCATGGGAGCAAAAACCCAGGTTACCATGTAAAATGCCCCAGTGTTTGAGAAAAAGCAAAGTGTGACATCTGATGTGGGGTGGCTGTCGACAGGTGTGGTGGTGCACGCCTGTAATCCCAGCACTTGGGAGGCTGAGGCGGGAGGATTGTTGCAAGTCTGAGGCCAGCCTGGGCTCCATAGAGAGCTCAGTGGCACCATGCCTGCCTCTCAAGGTCCTGAGTTCGATCCCTGGTATCACCAAAAAAAAAAAAAAAGAGTGAGAAGTGGAGGTTGTAAGGGTGCAGCCTCTCTTTATCTCCACACTGCTCTGTGGGAAATTTGCCAGCTCTCATGCGCTACCTGTTGGCAACACCCTCACCCATCAGGATTAAGTCACTAAGTGGCCCAAACAGGATTTGAACTCATGATCCTCCCGCCTCGGCTTCCCAGAGTACTGGGACTACAAGTATATATCACTAGGCTCACATACAAAGGGAATTTTTTTTCCCTAAAGCTTTTACTTTGAGACCTGATGGAAAAGTCAGAGGTAGACATGAAAGAGACAATCACAGAGGAGCGCAGACACGATCGAGTGAAGACTAGCCTGTAGCGCTTGATGGCTGTCCTGAAGCTGAGGTCCGGGAGTAGGACCCACTGCAAGAACTGAAAGGGATGGATCACTAGTATTCCTCTCCTTCAACAGATCCACAGCATTATCCTGCTATCCTTCTCTGGGGCAGCAAACCAGATGCCACACTTGGTCATGATGGTGTCAGTGGCAGCATCGACATCTTTGGGGCCCAAGTCACCCTGGTACAGCAGGCAGCAAGCCACGAGTTTACCGTGGCAAGGGTCACGCTTCACCACCTCGTCGCTGGCCCAAAGCAAGCCCTGGTGGTCTCTGGCCACGTGGTAGGCAGAGATGACCGGGACACACGTGGCCCAAGGGGAGTGGATGCAGGGACAGGGCACCAGGTCGGTCTGGAATTCTGTCAGTCAACACTCAGGGCTCCATTAAACCTGAGGGAAGCAGTGATGGAAGACGCAGGCGACACAACCTGGCTAACGAGGCGGGTGAGGTGAGGGCAGGTGGAGGTTTCTATGACAGATGTCACAGGTGGCGCGATCACCACGCTCCAGGGTGCTGGGGTGTTGAGGATGGAGTTGGGGGGCTCAGTTGCACTCAGTTGCACTTCTTCCTTGCCTGGGACAAGTTTCTCAGGGTTCCAGGGAGAACCTCATCAGAGACTGGGGGCCCAGGTCTGCAAATGCCACCCTGGGCACATGGCAGCAGGCACCAGTCTCGCGGGAGGAGCCATCTCTTCCCGCCGCGGTCCTGTCGCTTCTGGCCATCAGGTACCATCTATGCCAGGCGGTAGCGCTCCCAGCAGGCACTGCCAGTGCGGAGGCCACCCCAGCCAAGGTGGAGGGAGATGCACTCGCATGACGGCTGGGGGTGAGGGGGCCCGGGTGACAGGAACAGGCAGGGTCCTGGCCACTGTCCTCAATAAGCAGCGTCAAGGTTGTACCTCGCTCACGAAGGGCATTTTTGAATCGCTCACTTCCAACATGTGAACTCTGTTCTTCCTTTTTTCTCCCCTTCTCGGGAAATGGTTTTACCCCCCTCTCCCTCACCCAGAAACCCGGTCTGGCTGCGGACTTCCCTTCTCATCCTCTCCCCAGGCCACTTCCAGGGGTTGTGGGCCCGAGACCGAGCCTCCTTCCCCCTCCCCCCATCACGCCCTCCTCAGTTTTACCAGGACGATTCAGATTTCCCATTGTTGCCCCTTCCAGTCATTCCCTGTTCATTTGCCTGGATAATCAATCCTTGTATGTTTTGGTTGTCGTCGTTTTTGGTTTTTTGGTACCAGGGATCGAACTCCCGTCCTTGCACTTGCTAGGCAGGTGGCTGAACCACTGAGCTCCCCTCCCCCCATCACGCCCTCCTCAGTTTTACCAGGACGATTCAGATTTCCCATTGTTGCCCCTTCCAGTCATTCCCTGTTCATTTGCCTGGATAATCAATCCTTGTATGTTTTGGTTGTCGTCGTTTTTGGTTTTTTGGTACCAGGGATCGAACTCCCGTCCTTGCACTTGCTAGGCAGGTGGCTGAACCACTGAGCTAAATCCCGGGCGCTAAGTGATCCTTGTAAAGGGATAGGTTGAACACATCACTCCCTGCTTAGAACCCTTTCATGACTTCCTGTTGCTCTATGGTAAAAATCGAAATCTTGCTACTGCCTCTCCGGGTGATCTTGCTCCTCCCTAACCCCATCCCCATCTCCTGACTATTGCTTAAAGAGCCCTGGGCTTCCTTCTGCTTTGTCTCAGCCTTAATCCTCCCCAACAGCTCCTACTTACTTCAGGTTTCACTTCATATTTTTTCAGGAGGGCTTTTCTTTTTGTTCTTTCTCCTTTTCCTTTCTTCTCCCCCTCTTCTTCCCCCTCCTCTTCTTCTTCCTCTTTTCTTTTTTATTACTTTTTTTTTTTTTTGAGACAGAGTCTTGCCTTGAACTCACTATGCAGCCCCAAGGAGGCCTCAAACTCACAGCAACCCTCCTGCCTCAGCCTCTTGAGTGCTGGAGGTACTGGCATCCCCCACCCTGCTCTCTCTTTGAGTTTTAGCTGAAGCTCAAGGAAGCTGATGAAGTTTCTCTGTCATATGATAATTAGTCTATAAGTTCTGTAAGGGCTGGAGCTCTGCTTTACCCAGTTCAGTATCCTCAGTGCTTAACCAACCAGCAAGGAGTCAGGAACACAGCACCACAACACAGAATAGAAACTCAGTACAAATTTCTTGAGCAAACATTGTTCATCTGTTTTTACCTCTAAATAAACTTTAAGGTCAAGAGGCCAGGGGTGACGCAATGTAAATTCCTCTATTCCCTCCTCAGGCAGGACTTTGGAGTTAGCTCCCAGCATACTGTTGACACATTCCACAAATATTTTTGAGTATCTACTATGCAAAGCACTGGGTTTGTTATTAAGGATGTAGGAATAAATCTAGCAAAATATTCATATTAAACACTAAATACATCAAACAGTTGATAACATGTATGTAAAGAATTTTAAAAATAAAATGAACTCCCTAAACTACTACTACCCCTACTCCCACAGTAAATGTCCTGTGAGGAGAAGGGATCAAATCTACAAAAGTGGATCCCTGGAGATCGGGTGGGAGGGTACTGTAGAACGGACGAGTCTTGGGTGGGCTGTGCAGGGAGGAAAGACAAGTCTGGCCTCCAAAGACATAGAAAGGGAACCAATGTAGTAAACACACTTGTAATCCCAGCCTTCTGTGAGGCTGAGGCAGGAGGATTACAAGCTGGAGCCCAGCCCAGGCACTTGGTGACGTAGGTAGACTTTGTATCATGTATGTTTGTTTTGCAATACTGGGGATTGAACCCACAGCCTGGCATGTGCTAGGTAAGTGGTGTACCGCTGAGCTACATTCCCAGCTAGGAGACCTTCTATCAAAATTTAAGACATTTTTTTCAAAATAAAAAAATTTCCAAAGGCCAGATATATAGCTCAGTGCAAAGGCCCTAGGTTCAATCCCCAGATTTTTTGGGAAAAGTATAACTTGTCACTCACTAATTGTATGATCTAGGCAGGTCCAAACATTTCTGCCCCTGAGTTCCTTTTCTCCCCGCCTCTCGTTTCATTTCTTTTCTTTTTTCTTCTACCTTTACTACCTAGGCTGGTCTTGAATTCCTAGGCAAAAGGGATCCTTCTGCCTCAACCTCCCAAGTAGCTGAGAGTTCAAGTTGGAACCATCGGGCCTGGCTCGAGCCTCAGTTTCTGCTTTTGTAAAATGAGTTAGTAATAACTACGATTTGTATACCCACCATCTTAGCCCAGATGTTGGCAGGAGATGGCACACATAAAAAGCATAGTATTGTCATTACTTGTTTTGTTTTTTGCTTTTTTGAGACAAGGGTCTTGCTATGTAGCTTAGGCTGGCCTTGAACTCACTATGCAGCCCATGTTGGCCTCAAACTCACAGCGATCCTCCTGCCTCAGCCTCCTGGGTGCTAGGTTTACAAATCTGCGCTACAAGGGTCGGCAAGTATTGCCATTCCTGTGAACGCGGGTAAAGAGAACGGTCTGTCAGACTCGCCCTAGCCCCGCCCCTCCCCGCCCACACCGATAG